AGCAAAGAGAGCCCAGGTGTGGGAGGGAGCTCGAACCAGGGATGCGGCTGTGCAAAAACAGCAGAAGGCTTGCGATGGAGAGAGGGATGGGACTGGGGAGGGGCCAGAGCTCAGCAGAGCCACATTGGCAAGGCAGCGGGGTTGGCAAGGTTGGAAGGGGTGATTCTTTTGTTACAATTCATCCTGCCCTCTAAAATCCTGCCGCATGGACGGCCAGGAGCAAAGGGACGCCAGAGCCCAGCTATGTCTACAGTGCAATAAAAACCCACAGCACTGGATCTCAGAGCCTGGTCAGCTGACTTGGACCCCCAGGGCTCGGGCTGCAGGGCTACGAATGGCAGTGTAGACACCTCCCGCCTCGCGGGGCCTCAGAGCCCAGGCTCCAGCCGGAGCCCAGACATCTCCACTGCCATTTTTAGCCCCGCTGCCCAGGCTCTGAGACTCAGCTGACCCGGGCCAGCTGTGGCCGCGCCATGGGTCTTTTATTGCAGTGCTGCCGTACCCATTGTGTCAGAAACCGGGGCCTGCAGAGCCAGTCTCTGGGCAACTTAACGAGCATAGCTGGGCTGTAGCAGGCTGCCTGACTGGCTACAAAACCTGCTTCGTTGGAAGAGGCAGGAGACCAGCTCTTAAGCCCAGCAGCAGCAGTTCAGCGACTCCTCATTCACTCCTGGCTGCAACAACTTCTGTGCCTGCTTGTTCCCAGCATTGCTCCCACTTTGTTCCAGTCCTGCTCCAATTCTATCCTGCCCTGCAGCCTGCCTTGCCTCACGCCAGGTAACCTGGTCCTCAGCTCCAATTCCTGGCTTCTGACATCAGCTCTGACCGTGGACTCCCATTCCTGGCTCCTGCTCCAACCACCAGGCACATCCGCTCACGTCCCAGTCACTGACACAACGCAGAACTCACTCGGGCTGTTGTAGGAACTCCCCTGTGGAGCCTATTCAAGATGGACCCGTGGCTCGGCCTCGCCCCTGCCCTGGGCTCTGCATGGCCAGCTCAGTTAGAATGTAGCTGGCTCTCTTCTGTGCGTTCCCAGGCGTGGCTCCCGGAGGTACGGTTACCAAGGGGCCTGCTGGGCATTCCGCTCAGAAGAGCTCACACAACCAGCTATCTGTGTGCTACACAACAGGGCTCATTGCTCCCTCCCAAGCTTCTAGCAGCCGTGAGGGAACCGGAGAAGGGGAGATTTTGCTGGCCAGGAATGTGAAATCGACTGGGACACCGGGAGATGCTCTCAATGGGACTCTTCATTCTCTCGCTCTCACCCAGCTACTCACTGTGCTGTTTCCTAGAAACACAGCCTGAAGTTCACTGCCAGTTCACACTGCTACTGCACGTTATCACATCCAAATCCACCCTGCGGGCCAGATCTCGTATGCAGCTGGGGGGCAGAACGCCCCGGCTTTCACATCGGGGGCTTGAGGCGACTTTCCTAGGGTGGGAACATTCTAATAGGCTGGTCATCGGCCGAGGTGCGTGGACATGGCAGAGTCCTGCCCGAGCAAAACCCTGGTTCCCAATCCCACCCATTGCTAGGCAAGTTTGGAGCCAGACCTCTGGGGCTCACGTTCGGCTCCAGTGTGCACCGGGGGGTCTATATTCAAATCAAGAGCTGAGAACTGCCCGGAGCGTGTCCCAGGACCTTTCACCAGGCTGCGCCTGTGTAGAAATCAGAAAAGTTGGTTAAGACCAACCAGAGAGCTGTCAGCATGGAGAGCGAGCTGGGCTCTGCCCTGCCATGCACGATAGCTACAATATTCCTTAGCCTTCCCGACCCCATTCCCAGCAGAGGCACGCAGGAAAGGACGCAGGGGACTTGCTCAAGGTCACGGACTGAGACAGCGGAAGGATTAGGAATGGAAGCTAGAACTCCTGCCTCCCACCCTGCTGCTCTGACCATCAGCCATCTCCAGAGCACACAGCCAAATAAGGGGAGTGGGGGAATGTCATTTTTCCAAATAACGCTGGGCTCCCCTGCACACCAACGCTCTCCTGCTCTGCACAGGGTTTAATCCGTGCAACTTCCCATCCTGTGAGCCACGGCCCAGGAGTCACCGTCATGCTGTACCACTGCCCGGACCCGTGACACGACTCAGAGGCAAGGAGCTGGCATTCTGGTGCAGCAGCACTGCCGTGGCGTCCTGATGCACCGACACAGCAGCCCAGCCTCCTGGGCCCAGTCTGTGCCACAGACAAAACCAGGCCTGTGTCAGAGCACACTGCAGTCCAGCACTGCTCAGTGTTACCACTCACAGGCACAGCTGTCCCAGCAGACCCAAACTCCAGCCAACAACCTGTAGAGCTAGCTCGCAGCACCTTCGGCTGGGTCAGGCCAAAATGTCCTTATCACCCCTTCTTTGTAAAAATGCTGAATACTGATTAGAATTACGGGCTGGTCTGCAAACGTTCAGCTTGGAAAGGGCTGCTCCGGACAGAGGAATTCGCTCCTTGCAAAATATTAGTGGGTGGAGATCAACGTGTCCATAAAGGCTCCACCTACAAAAATGCTACAGCATTCCTGAGCCCAATCTGCAAGTTACAAAGCTCTGCTTGGGGTTTCTCCGGCGCCAGCTGTGTGGATTGGGGCCTTTTCTAACTGGGGAAGCACAAAACAATTTCACATCTTTAGACGTGGCTGCTGCGCAGGCACAGGAAGGAATGCGCATCTCGGTTAGCAACATAGCGTTTGCCCAAGCGATGGGTCGGACAACCGACTCTCCAAACTTGCTCTGGCTGCTGCTGACAGTGGCCAGTACCTGATGAGTCAGAGGATGAAAATGTCCCACGTGATGTGCCTGGGAGGGAAGTCCTTTGTGACTCCAACAATCATCAGATTATGGCCTGAAGTGCTTTAATTTAGGGCTCCCCCAACCTTCTCAATACATCTTTACAACTCCAATTGATGCAAGGGTTACATGCAACTCCATGGGGCAAAGGGAGCAGGATTACCACAGAGCGTAACCATCTTCAAATGAAAGGAGCTGTGGACTTGGATGAATAGATTGTGGGGCTCTGCAGCCTCTCATAAAACCTCCCAGCTCTTGCATATTCCCACGGGAGATCTTATTTTCCAGGGAGATTAAAAATTGGGAGGAAATTGACGCCACACGTAGATAACCACGGGGGGGGGGGGGGGGAGGAAAAATCACGACGGGGGGGGGGGGGAGGAGAAATTCAGAGTTAGGGCAGGGAGTTTTTTCCTCCCTCCCTCCCTGCCAAGGAATGCTGCTGTCTGGGGAGGGAGAGGGCTCTCATCCTCTCATCATTACACTTATTTACACAGGCAGATTGTGCCCAACATTACAATAGCAGGATGCATGCTATAAAAGTTGCAACAAACATTTGCCACTCATTGCCCCAGGACCCCAGCCCAGCCTCTGCCTCCTCCACTCCCTGAGATGCCCTCTGGTGAAAGGCCCAGATTATAGGTGTGCAGGAAAGGGGGAGATGGGACCCCACGCCACAAATCACAGTCCTGCCCCGAGGCAGCTCCCAGTCTGATTCCATATTCTTCTCTCACAGATCACGGGAGTGTCTGGAGTCTGCATCCCATTGCAGGGCTGAGCTAAAAATCCGCACCCAATGGCAGCCAGCGCTGGCACAGGAGGCAGGGAAAAGGGCGCTTACTCCACTACCTAAGTGAGGGAAGCATGCAAGCTCCTCGGTGCTCTCAGTAAAGGGGTGAGTGGGTGGAAATGGGGTTATTACAGTTCTTCTGCACCTCCCAAGAGACAGCTGCTCATTCTACCTACACTGGCACTAGCTCAGCAGGAGCAGCTGCCATGTGGGGAAGGAGCTGGGAAGCCTGGCAGGTCAAGCAGAGAACCCACTCCCAACGCCTCTGATTCTAGCCCGACACGTATGGGCTGGCTCGGTTGGACGGTCTTCTTACCACACTCAGCAATTACTTAATAAATATTCCATTTTCGTCTTCAACGTGCTTTACAAACACTAATCCCACTGATTAGCACTGGGGCTTCCAGGTGACACCCCAGCCACGGAGAGCGCTCCCATGAAGTCTCATCCGACACCGGTGCCAAAGGAGAGACAGATGGTACATACTGCAGGAGCTGGGGTACTTGGGCACATGGGCTAGACACGTTGCCCTCAGCTCTCTCCAATCTATGCACTGTTGTTCCCCAGAGGATCTCAATACACTACACAGGTGGTTCAGTGTCACTCCCTATTTTACAGACAGAAAAACGGAGGCTCAGGAAGATTGCAAGAGATCGTATAGGGCCTGGCACTATTCACACAAATAAGGGCTCACAGGACCAGCTGTTCCACTCATGCCTAAACTCTGCAACTTTTTCCACCCAGGCACACACCTGTGCCAGCACATAACCCACTGAAGTCACTGGGGCTCCGCCACACAGGATCTGTCCACACAGAACAGGGTACAGGACTGGGGCCTCACTTATATCAGTGTATCTTCAGGGGAGTCACACCGTGTAGCCGACAGCAGGATCTGGCCCACAGACACAACTCATTCTCCTGTTAAGATAGCCTCCTGTCCACAGCATGCAGCTATCCCCCAGCCTCCTGGCTGGCTGCTTACCAGACTGAGCCCACCTCCTACCCCACAACCAAGCACAGCCGGCCCACCTCTAGCTCAGGAGGTCTTGGCACTGCCAAGCCTGAGGCTTAGGGTGACAGGGTACGGGGATAGGTGGGGACACACCACTAATGTGACTCCTCATTAAGGTAAATAAAGATAGAGAGAGGCGTAGAAGTACCAGCATCAGTCTGGCGCACAGGCTGATCGGCTGGATGCCACTGCGCTGTGTGATTCTGATTGGCGTTAGATTGGGAATGGAGTTAAGGTTGGCTCAGAGGCAGTGTTAAGGTTGGCTTGGGGGCAGCGTTAAGGTTAGGGTTAGAGAGGCTTGCACCCACAACCCCTGCGCACTGGACCATGGTTAGGCACCCACCCCGTGAATCTGGCTAGGCGCCCCTTGCCCCAGCCTGTGGGTGGGGGACCAGATACCCCATCCTACCTTGAACTCCACGGAGAGTTGCGGGGTATAGTCCAGTGTCCAGAGCGCCCGGACCAGGGCTGCCAGCTGCTGGGTGACCTCTCCGGGCACGCCGCGGGCACGGTACTGCTCCAGGCCCAGGAACTCGGCCAGCAGGTCGGTGTTGCTCAGGCACTGCACCACAGCGTTCATGAAGCACGTGTTGCCGTGGTTCTTCAGCCCCTGCGCCCCGGGGGCCGCCCCTCCGCCGCGCCCCCCGGGGGGCTCCAGGAGCGCCGCGCCTCCGGCCAGCCGCTGCCTCCCCCGACCTGCTCCTCAGGCTGGGCTGCCCCGGGGGGCCCGGCCGGCGGGGGGCCCGGTGGGCACCGGAACCCCCCCTCATCGTCCTCCGGCTCCGCGCCCCCCCGGCGGCTCCCACCTCCCAAGTGCGACAAGGCGCTCAAAGTTTTCAGCAGGCGGCTGACCAGGCTGCCCAGGGCGCGCAGGGGTCTGCGCCGGGACCCCCGCCGCCGCCCGGGGGGCTCCGTACCTCTGCCGGGCCGCTCCTTGGGGGGCTGCGGGCTGGCCCCTCTCCTGCCCCCCGTCTGCGGCCGGTCGCCCATCGCCTGGCCCCGCCGCTCTCCCGCCAGGCACCTGATTCACCTGCCTCCCCCTGCGCGCTGCGCTCCACGGCGCCGGCTGGGTGCCCGCGGGCCGGCCGAGCTGCCCCCGACAGGTGCCCCGCGGGCCGAGGGGATGCTGGGCATGCTGCCGGCCCCCCTCCCTGCTGGGCGCTGGGTCCCGGAGCCGCTGGCTCGGGGTGTGCGAAGGGGCAGCTCCTCCCCCTGCTGGAATCTGATTAGCCTGGTTTAGTTGGGGGGGGGGGAGCGGCTTTTCGCAGGCGAGACGCTGCTGCTGCTGCTGGTGAAAAGCGGCATTGGCTGGAGCCTGCCCTGGGAATGTGTTTTGCCAGGGCTGGGCGTGGGGAGCCTGCCCGAGTCAGGTGTTTCCAAGAGGAAGTAGCACTGCCCAGCACCCTGAGCCCGAGGTAAACAGCTCGGAAGCTGTTGGAAGCGAGCCAGGCCGGCAGAGGCCAGAGGCAGATTGTCTGTGACTGCGGAACTCCCCTCCACAAGAGATGAGGGCAAGCAGACAGCTCTAAAGATAGGACTCTAGGTCAATCTGTTCTCTGTGGGGGTCTTACACCACGCTCCTCAGCTCACCTAGTATCTGAGCAGCTTCCAGTCCTGCATTCAGCAAGGTGACTAACAGCAGTCACATGTTTGTTTTCTCATCCTCTCCCTTGTTTTCATTAGCTCTGTCTGTTTACTCCCAGCAGTCAGAATCTCAGGCCTGTCTTAGCCTACTCTGCACTGGAAAAGTTGCACCAGTCTAGGCTATCGCTACACTTTGTGCTTCTTTCAGCAGTGTGGATTCGGGCAGCTCTCCCCCCCACACACACACACAAGGGTTTCAGAAGCAATGTAGATGC